GCCGATGAACATCGTTTTTGCGAACGGGCCAAGTTTCCTAGACGTACAGCAGAATCGCTCGTACCGTAGCATTATAGACTTGTCCCTTGGGAGCGAGACTGAGGTCACGACGAAGCCAAATTTGACGAAGGTTAGCGAAAACGACTCTAGCCTTGGAGGCATGTAGGGAGATCTCATCTGTCAAACCGCCAATACTAAGACAACTGCCAATATAAATGAATTTGTCGACCACTTCCAACGGATGCCCCGAAAGGGTGAGAGAAGGACATGCGTTTGGCCAGTCCTATAACAGGACCTTACATTTGGAAAGGGCAAAGCTCAATCCAAATTGGGCGGCGGACATCTCCATTCTGAGCAGCACAAGCTGGGCAGCTAGGGAGGACTCGCAAATCACAGTGATGTGATCGGCCTACTCTAAGTCCCGAAGGCGGTCACCACGGAGCAGTTCAACACCGCAGGACTCAGAGTTATCCAGGACAGTATCCAGGATCTCGTCCCTGGCGAAGTTGAACAAGAATGGAGAGACTGGGCAATTCTGTCTAACATCGCTGGTGATACTGAAACGGGGCGTAATGTCTCCGTATGCTCGCACGCGGCCCGAAGTTTGATGGTAAATAACACGGAGAATGCTGATGTACTTCCCAGGTACTCACCTCTTCAGTAAGCAGTTCCGAAGAGCCACTCTGCCAACAAAGTCAAAGGCGGTTCGAAACTCTAAGAATATGACTATAGTTGGTCGACTGAACGTATGGCGATGTTCAACTATCTGGCGGATCGTAAAGATGTGATCGACGCAACTGCGACCCGGGCGAAATCCAGCTTGTTGTTCACGCAGGTGCTGTTCCCGTACGAAACTAAGCCTCCGCAAGAGTAGGGCAGCGAGAAGTTTGGATGCGACACAAAGGAGACTGATGCCACGATGGTTGGAGCAAATGGTCTGGTCTCTTTTTTTAAACAGGTACAACATCCGCTAAATTCCAATCAGATGGAATGGTTTCACTTGTCCAAGTCTGATGGAATAGAGATGTCATTTCGCGAGTGAGAGCAGCACCTCCATATTTGAAGGGGGCAGGAGGAAGTTCATCTGGGCCAGGTGATTTGTGGCGTTTCAGTAGACGAAGCTCATTCGAAACTTCACCCTTTGTCTTTGGAGAAACATCCACGCAACAGGGAGCACTGTTAACCCCGGCGGATAGACTCGGTTGCGCTACTGGTCTGTTGAATTGGTCTTCAAGGTACTCTGCCCATCGTACCAGACGACGGTGACGACTGTAAACTAGATCACCGTCATTTTCACGCAAAACCTCACTCACTGTTGGTCAATTGCCTCCCGTGGAGCGAATAAGTTGGAAGCGTTTGCGGGAGTTTCCTGCTGAGGCTGCCCGCTCCATCTGAACGACGCGCTGTGTCCACCAAACCTCGCGATTCTTTCTGAGGAGTTGTCTAGGCTCAGCACCTGTGGTTCTGCGTAGCGCGTTGTACTCAACTCCGGCGGGAATTGTTCGACGACTTTCCATTAATTGGAGAGACTGCGCGGAGATCCAGTGACTAGCAGCTCATCTAGTGAAGCCACAGACCAGGATAGCGGACTTTCGTAAGGCGCTCTGGATCTGTGCCCAGTATGTCTCATCATCGGGGGATAGAGAACATAGGTTGGAGGCTAATGTGTTCTGAGATGCGCCGAGAACATTTGTGGCGGCGAGCTTGTCTGTGTCAAACCCTTTCCGGCGACGCTGTTAGGTGCCTCCAAAGCGCACAACGAACTTAGCACACACAAGCGCATGCTTCGAAGTCAGGTAAGTATTCCAAATTGACTTGCAGTCCGTTATGCAACCTCGCCAACGGTAACTAAAAGCGATGTGGTCAATTTGTGTCCAAGATTGACCGGGCGCCGGAGGTCGCCAGGTGGCTGGTTGGCCCCAGGAACGTCGGAAATTGGTGCTTGAGAGGAACAAGCCATGGTCGATCGTCGTTGTCCGTCCTGCGAGTACCGTGGCTGTGTTGACCCCCAAGTCCGCGCTTATAAACCTCTAGTCTACCAACCTGCGCATTGAGGTCACCGGCGAGTATCACGATGTCCGTGCGGTGTTGCGGTGGAGGTCGATGAGTTGGCGGTAGAACTGGTCTGTAGCTTCATCCTGGCTGCAGTCCGTTGGAGCGTACACAGTTACAATGAATAAGCAACGCCTACTGGTCCTCTGGCAGGAAGATCACACTGAGCTTTCCAAGCGGATTGCACAAAGACGACTGTTGACCGACAACCAGTCAATGAACGCTGCTTCAGCATGCGCGTTTAACGCAACTCCTAGATCGACGCAACCAGAGGCTTCCGCTGTCGCATCTCTAGATAAGCGCAAGGTGAATTTGCAATTGGAACTTGGGGAGGGTGAGAGCAATCGCAGCGTTGTGCTGGAGTCTTGTAAACGGGTTTCGGTTAGGCAAAAAACGTCGATTAAGAATGTTTCCAAGCTGCGCGCAAGAGCAACTTGTGAACCAATCTGCATAAGCGTTCGGACATTGAACGTAACTAGCTTGAAGAGCGAGCGAGGTGCAATAAAAGCCTTGCTGTTGGTATTGGAATGTGTGCGATCGGTTTTGAGCGGTTCATTGATGAGGCCAAAGGTTCCGTTTTTATTTGCAATTCCATTTTGGTGACTCGAATTTGAGCAGGGTTGCCAAGAACAGGAGGGTTGAATAAGCGTGGAACGAAGAACGTGGTTTGCGGTGCGGCAGCGTGAGGTTTAGCATGCCCGGCCGCCAGCACTCTGGCCAAAGGGAGAGTTCAGAGAGCGAGAAACGTGAGCAGAGAGTTGTAAACCCATCACTGCATGTGTTGCGTGGGCATACAGCTTCCCGGTTGCCCAGGCCGAGGAAGGGGATTGACATAGGGGCCCCTACCCGGAGCCTTCGGTCATAGGGACCTGACTCGAAAGGCAGCTGGGCGAAATCATGGAATCACGTCCTTTAAGAGTCGGTGACCGATTGCTCGTTTCATACGCCTTTCCTTTGGCTGACTGTCAAACATGGGCCCAATACTCCCAGTAATTCCGCGTCAAGCTGAATGATTGCAGTGCTCTAGCGAGGTGGAGCAAGTAGCAGTGACTTTATTTAGTGGCGAATCACATCCGCCACGTCGCAGTGTTGTTAAACGGACATATGTGGTTTTTTATAGGGAGAACGCTTGCCAGGTGAAAACTCACCACTGCCGCCGAACATTTCGCTGGAACAATAATCCCGAACCACCGAGCTGTCACCACGAGGAGCGAGTTCGGCAAGCAATAGCTATGCTGTAATGGGCTACTTCGAAACGTCTGACATCATAGCGTGGAAGCAACACGGATTCCATCAGCATCGGTCATGTACTACCAACCTACTGCTTGCCCGTGGCAGTTGGATCGAGATAGTCGACAGTGGGACCGGCATTGATGTCATGTACCTAGACTTTTCCAGAGCATTCATCCGCATAGACCACCGCATTCTTCTCCAAAAGTTGCAAGCATACGGAGTTGGAAATCCTTTCCTTGGATGTGTCGGCAACTTCTTCTTTCAGTTGTGCCCTCAGGTTCGAGTTCCAGATTCATTTTCTGATCTAATTCATGTGGACTGCGGTGTTCCATAAGGGTCGGTGTTGACGTCGTGTTGGTGTGTCGTCAAGTCAAATTACCTGCTTTTTGCCGATGACATCAACATATGTCTGGTAAACGACTGTTAGAAAGATCACGTTATGTTGCAACGAGACTGCGCTTCCGAATGGTCAGAGTTAAACCTACTTCCGTTTAACACGGACGGTGTCTTGCCAAACGCCTAACCAATGGATTTATGGATTTATATGTTTAATACGCGAACATCTCTGCTATTCCACATAAGTCCATGGTGAGTCCACCACAACGCTTTTCACTTTATCATGCAATTGATTTTCACAATAATTTCCATCCTACGGGACTTGTTAAGCAACGCTTTTTTACCCGTAATAAACCAATGTTCCATTGTTCCAAAACCATGCATGTCTGCCATTAGCCCACGTACGCATATTAACTTTGAGACTATGTTCTGTACACCGCCTCTCAAGAGCGAGACCTTGGGGTGATAATCCAAGACTACCTCGGCTATTCGGCGCAATCCTTGAAGGCGTCCAAAAACCGCGAACTAACATGTTGGTCTGTTACGGAGGGTGTTAGGGAGGTTTGATCCCTCCATCTTCCCCCAAATACTCAATGCATATGTTAGGCCTCATGTAGAGTACGCGACCCAGGCTTGGCAATCCTGGTTAAAACGCCACCTGGTTGCATTGGAGACCGCACAGCGACGGGCAACGAAAAATATGAGGGTTTTTCCCGCCTGCAATACCACAGGCGACAGAAAGCCCTGGGAGTGTACAGCGGAAGATATCGCCGTCTACGGTGTGACCTCATCCTGGCGTTCCAGGTTTTGAAAAACCCCGGTCGCACTTGCCAAGACCTCCTGAAGCTTACCTGTAACACGGAATTGAGGGGTCTTAAATTGTAAGTAGGCACCCAATACAGTCGACTTGAGTGCTGCCGGAATTGCTTTTCCCTCCGAGTTTGTCAACCGTGAAATGTTCTTTCGACTTTTGTCATTTCAGCGTCCACGCTATACATTTTTGAAAAACGACTCGATGCCTTACACCATTTACATTACTTGATATGATTTCTGTTCATTGAGTGACGACAAGGCGCAGACAAACATTGTGCTCACTAACCCCACGAAATCGGGGTCGACGAATATACCTATGTGCTAATGTGGATAATATGGTGACTCCACATATGTGTTTCTCACTTTTGTGTAATTTCATTGAACTGATGTTATTCCCACAAACCATCCCACGGGACTTGTCAAGGCTTGGTTTTGTTATCCGTGTTATTCCATTGTTCAGGATTACGCAGCGTTTTCTTCTTCTGGGTTCGGGCACTGTAGAACATCGGTCATTGCTCATTCGCACTAAATCACGTTTCTCTATCACACTTTCTCTTCCGGCTCAGGATCGAATACTTATGAAGAGGCATCGCAGTATATCCGCCGAAAATTTGAAAACCTTAGTCCACCGAATAAGGCCAAGGACGTGTATTCCCACTTCACATGTGCCACGGACACAAGCAACATTCAGTTCGTATTCGACGCAGTCACCGATGTGATTATAAAGTCGAATCTGAAAGACTGCGGGCTCCTCTGATTCTGTATGACTAACTCTATGTTTTACTTGTACTGCGTACGGTCTTTTCAGTGCATTTACCCGTTCGCACTCGCATGTTATCTTCATTTGCATATTTCTTCAATCTGACGTGTACCAGTTAGGCAATCGGAAGATCTACTTACGTGTTTTGATTTCAGGTGCGTTTACTTGGTTGACATGTTCCGCACCGGTTCCGTCATACATTTTTCGGTGTTTTTTCTATTTCGAAGCTTCTCTCATAGGCGTTCCGCAACTTTCACATATGTCCGCTAATCAACTGAACATATTCAAGCACTTTCAGTTACATTGTCAGTTTGCATAAAGTGCGGAATTTGTAATACTTCTAACGAGTAATAGTGATCACGTTGTTTTATTCTTCGGTTTGTTTCCGATGTTACGTTTGCGCAAAACCCATACCAAATATGCTCCATATTCTACTGCAACACCTTTGAAATCGGCCTTGGTGCTTTTGCAAGGCTTACCTCTTTCCAACTTAAAAATTTTACTTATCTATTCTTGACAACCACCTCTCACTATGTCGAAGGTGATTTTCAATCGAAGCCACGTCTTCGCTTTGCAAAGCACATGTATATTCGACATTTGGAACTATAATCGTCAATCGCAGCATGATCAACAAACCGGTACCCTTCAATAGAAGTGTGATTGTGTTCACTCTCCCGGCGCTGCACTGATTTTATTTCTGAAAGTGGTTTTCCATGAAAGGCATCTGTGAAGTGTATGAGCAAGCATTGTGCGCTGTTCGTTTTTTTGTTGTTGCATGACTTTCGTATTCTCTGAAGCCCCTCGTTCACACTTTGCATCTATTCTTACCGACTGTGTCACAAGCGTTCATCCACGGTTGACCAATTTGTCGTTGCTTACCCACACATCTCATCACGAGCTCAATGTGAACTGTTCAGTTGAACTAGCTATCCAGTCTATGTGAGTTTCGCAGCCTTTTGGGTTCAATCTCAATAGAAGTTTTTTCGACTATGTGATTTTATTGCATATCTTATTGTCTGAGCGTGCATTATACAGTAGCATCCCGTAAAGCAGCCCAACATGGGATTTGAATTCTTGGCTTCTTTATCCACCGACGACAAAGATTTCCATTTCGACAAACCTGTCCGTCATCAGCTGTCACAACTCATGCATTTTTTGACTTGAGAATGAATAAATGAATTGGATATTTATGGACGGTGCGAGACACAGACCAAATGCGTCGTCTGGTCATTATGTACAACTTAGTCGGATGGCGGAGAAAATTTTTTGTATCTCAAAATGTAGGTGTCAGAGGAACTTTGCGGTGTTGAGTTATTTAAAGTAATAATAATACGGAAAGTAGTGCGTAGGAATCAATCATGCAGTTCAAGTAAAGTAATACAACCATCCGTGGCACCGCTTGCTGGAGAACTCACGTAACTGTTGTTATTTTGCTATCCTACCGCACAAAGAAATGGACCATTAAGTTTGATGACGTTACACGCATTCAAATCCTTAGAGCTGTTTACCTGCGAAGCATTACCTATAAGGTGTGCAGGCGACTATCTGATGACCATGATCTGTTCTGTCTGCCAACCCAACAGACGGTTCCGTTTAGTTGGCATTTGCTCAAGTACATGCTGCCCACTGCCTGATCTTGGATGGCGTTAGCATCCATGAATATGGTCGTGAACCTGGTAGCAAGGTATAAAGTTAATAGCCATAACATTGGCGCACTTCTGTGCCCAGTTGGATGAGGCCTTTATACCATTTGCTACTGACACCGAGAAGGCATAGTGAAATCGGCAGAAAAGATTTTTCTAGCTGACGCTTAATTTATTGCTCTGCTCGCTGGAGGCCGTCATGGCGTAGTTCCGAAATCAATTGCTCTCTTGCCTTAGCCCATTTATCCTTATAGCCTTTGCACCTAATAATTACACATTTTCATCCTTTTCTTCCTGCAGCCCTGTTCTTGTTTATTTGCACTGTCTCTTCACCTCCCCTTGTTACTACTCATTCTTATGATGACATGGCTAGTGGCAGCGGATGCATCTCACTTTGGTGCCTGGCTCATAATTTACTGGGCAATTGGATTGACACGTTGCGAATGATGACTTAGTGGATACTTTCCTTCCGTGGTTTTGGCGTCTGGCTTGTAATCCAAGTCGCCAGCTTCAGCCTACGTAGGTGTGTCTTTGGCCATACTGAGTCAATGGCCCAAGATGTTTATGGAGTCATTATCCTCCCCAGCAAATATGCTGAAAGCAAGCTCCTCGACGGCAGAGCAGTGAACAACCGCATATGCGTGGTTCGACTTCAGGTCTCTGTTGGTCTAAACGAACACCGTCTAAAGACAAAGTGCCTTTTCGTCGTATCGGTTCGTATCCCCACCGACTGTAGTTCAGAGTGTATCAAAGACGAATTATACCACAAACCCTCAATTATCCGTATGGCTAAAATACTCTTAGCGACATGAATGCCTAAACGGGCCAGCTGTCGGATTCTAAACAACACATGGGAAGCCGTTTCGGTGTCAATGCATGCCCGAACAGACATTGGCGACCTACTCCTGCAACTATGTGATGGTCAAAATCATTATAGCAGTAGTCACCTAGTGCCCACCGAATTGCTCCATGGCCTGCATGCAAATTGACCATATTACCAATAGGTACAGATGGCGACAGCGGTTCAATACTGTCGATCAATTTGTAATGCGCGCCTGGACTCTGATCCTGCTCTAGTGTGCGCACGTCTGGCAATCACTTCCCACATCAAGCTTCTCACTTGAACTGGCAGTTCAGCAGTATCACGCAGAACTCACCTATCAGTTGTTAGTAGTGAATGAGGTCGCTGAAGCAAATGCTGACTGCAGTCCTCTCAAGTGTACCATGAAGATTACTTTTGATGTTCACTGCACATCCCACTTGGTACGTCCAATCTTTAGGGCATCGATCAGTTTCATCAAAGCACTCAAGCCTGTTCCGTTAAACAGAATTTGAGCGTGTTCGCAACCCCTTGTAATGACGACTGATAACTTGTTTTAGGACTGACCTTGGACGTTGGTGAGTGACCGGTGTCCGTGCGATGGAAAAGCCAATGCTGTTGGGAACAGCCGAGTGCTTTTCCAGTTCATTCTGATCGCGAGTCCAAGATAACCCTTATTTAGCGAGATACTAGCTGAGAAAGATGAAAGTTGATCTACACACACCCGCATCTACTAGTTCGTTGGGCGGAACACTTTGAAGGGCAGTTCGGAAGGATTGCTTTGACACTGCAGCTTGCAGAATCGCCTGAGCCCACGTGGGAATTCGTTGTCACATCTCCCACTTTCGAAAAGATTCTATAGGGGTTTGCCGTGTTGAAACGAGATAGGCTCCTGAATCCAACGACCTTCCTCCATTTTTGCTGAAATATGACTTTATTGGCTGGACTTGTCGCTATGTTCAACACTTCTGGGACACCGAATATGTGCTTACAGGCTGGCGGCTGTCAACTATCGAGTTCCGTGTCAACATGGGTCAGCGGACTTTGTACGAAAATCACCGAACCATTAGCCTTCTCGTATTTCCTCCAAACCCCACGAGTATCATTCTGCGATGACTTCATGTGAGTCGAATCGTCAAAAGCTAGGCGGACTTCCGCCCTGCTCGTGTCTGTATGCTTGCAGTAAGCTATAGGGGCAGTTGTAGTTGTAGTTTTCCTTGACTCGGAAGTCACCTTCGACTCTCTTTTCATTATGCTAGTTTGTGCCATGGAAATTCCTTTCCTTTCTGAAACCGCTATACTACTAATCCCAGGACCGAGTTTAGGTTTACGGAAAGTTGTCTCCTGAGTTCTTCACTACAATTGAAGTTTGTGCTATATCTCCTGCCCTCTTCAACCCTGTTTTAAAATGATGATAATTGATTTCGTTCTTTCAGACCCTTCCAGAATGGAAGTTCTGCCGAATGAGCGACTTTGAGTTTGCGGACGACAGTCCTTGGGTATGACGCTGGGGTTCTACAAGCACTACTACATAGACGGTTGCGTATCACTGCAGACTACGACATGCTGTGTACCTTGAGGGTGCAGAATATTGCTGCAAGACTGGACCGATACGTGGCCGGTTTTCATTCTTAACGAATAATCACTAGAAGTGGTGGATCAGTTAACTTGCCTTGTTAACCGTGTCACCTCTAGTGGTCACACCACTGAGGTTGTTACTTAACGTACCAGCAAGGCCCGTGTGGCTTTCCGGTGACTCAACCATTTATAAAGACGACCAGATATCAGCCTGTCAGTGAAAGGTAGGGTGTATAACGCTGCGATAAGACCGGTGTTTCTGTATGGATCACAGACCTAATCAGTTCGCAGTGAAGATATTTAATGAATGGACGTCTCTTATTACTGGCGCTCCATTGCAATAAAGCTGGACCTTACCGTGGTGGGATGGTTTACGTGCCTCAGAGATCTTTTGAGCTATGATATTTGGTGTATTTTGGCACTTCTGAGCCACTCATATTAGATTGGTCAATGGTTAGAGGCCAGACAAATTCAGCCTCCTGGTCCTCCAGATTGGGGGTTGGAATAAGGGTGGCTCCTTATTCCTTAACACGGACTCCTTGTACCCCACTACCAAACCCGCTGCCTTGCGGTCAGGTTTTTGAACCAAAGGCTTCCGTTGAGAACCTCAATCGTCTCCTTCTAAGCCTGGGCAACCTGACATTATCCTGCCCACGCAATGCAATGAATTTTTCTTCAAATAATTCCATGATGCTCTGGCGGTCGCAATGAATAATAAACGGCGCCCTGTCTGTCTCGTCCAGCAGGGTGGATAGGGCTTTCGATGCTACTGCTCAAGGCTTCCCGTCTTCTTTTTCCCCTGTATGTTCCCGTTCCAGCTCCTCTTTTATCCCCCTAGTTTTCAATACCCCGATTCCTCTCCCTACCCCCACATGCTTTGCTAGGCCTTTATCTTCTAGTCACAGCTCACATGCAATTGCGGAGCGTCACTCCTGTCCTGTCGACAAGCCCATGTCCAAGCAAACGGTCTGCATCAGTTAATCGGCTTCCATTTGGAGCCCTCTGTCCTCCTTCAGATTAGTATGCCCCAATGTACGCACATTGCTACAGATCGGTCAACAGGCAACACTTGCCCGCACAGTAGAGACCCTCTCGATCGATATCTGCTGCTTATCGGAGACCCGCCTGCAAGACTCGAGCTCTGTGCTCACTATGCGATCACCTTCAGGTGACACAAGCATTATTTTCTCATCGCGCCTATCTGTTGACGATGCAGCTTTGAGCATCAGCCAAATTGGTGTTGGCATTGCCCTGAGTCCCCGGGCTGAAGCTGCTCTGGTTGATTGGATTCCAATCAGTAGACGGATGTGTGTGGTCCGATTGACTGACTCATTCAAAGCTTAGAATTCGCGCGGGACTAACAGGTATCTATTCATCATCGCTGCCTATGCGCCCACAAACTGTAGCGATGATTCGGTAAAAAACGACTTCTGCCGCCAACTGAACGAGCTCCATGGCCACAGAAGAAGCTCGGACACTGTAGTGCTGTTTGGGCAGCTGAACGCACAAGTTGGAAAGTTGTCCACTGATGAACTGCCTCTAGCGGTCAGCACGGTGTATGCTCCCGTAATGATAACGATAGGCGGTTACGTCATTTACTTGAAGATGCTCGCTTATTTCTTGTAAGCACTAATTTCCGGCACAACACTCGCCGGATGGTGACATGGCGCCCACCTGCCCCGAACCAGCCATGGACGCAGATCGATCATATTGCGTTCAGTTGCCGCTGGAAAGGCTGCGACCAGGACTGTCGCTCGATTTGGTGCACATTTGTGGACACCGACCATGCACTTGTATGTGCTGATATGCGGATGTGTTTTGGCGGACGCCCACGACGACGCTGTGAGCGCATTGGCACCAGCCAACTGGCAAAGCCAGCTTTTCTGAATGCCTATCAAATAACGCTGGCATGCGAGTTGAGTCAGCGCTCACTGGATGCAACTGAATCTCACTGGTCTCTTGTTCACCAGAAGTTAGTAGCAGCAGGCAAATCTTCATGTTAA